CGCGCCACCATGCCCAGCTGATTTTTTTTTTTTTTTTTTTTGTATTTTTAGTAGAGACGGGGTTTCACCATGTTGACCAGGATGGTCTTGATCTCTTGACCTTGTGATCCACCCACCTCAGCCTCCCAAAGTGCTGGGATTACAGGAGTGAGCCACTGTGCCCAGCCCCTGATAGGTGGTTTTTAACCCATGCCCTCCTCCCCTCTGGAAACATTTTCTTGTCTCACGTCTTCCTCCTCTCTTCTACCCCTAAATACTGGGATGCCTCAGGAAAATCCCGAGGACACCTTCCCTTATGCATCCATACTTTCCTCCTAAGTCATTTCATTAAATCCCAATAATTTAAATAGCAACCTGGGTGTCGATGAATCCTGAATCCAGCCCTGGCCTCTGTCCCCTGAGTTCCAGAATCATAGGATCTCAATCTTAACTCCTGATCTCCCCATGCACACACCTGCTCCTCCTCAAGTCTTCTCCATTTTAATAAATGGTCCCAGTGACTTGAGCTAGGAATTTTGGAGCTAGTCTTAATTCCTCACTTCCCTATATTCCCTACATCCAAGCTATCGAGAAGCCATAATGACTTTATCTTCAAAACACACCCCAAGGTCACCCTCTTTCGCTCATCTCCAACACTGCACCCTCGTGGGAGCACCAGCATGTCTCACCTGGGCCTCTGCAACAGCCTCCTAACTGGGTCTCCCTGCTTCCACTCTTGCCCCTCTATAATCTAACTCCACATAGCAGCCAGAGTGATTTTTTTTTTTTTCAGACAGAGTCTCACTCTGTCACCCAGGCTGGAGTGCAATGGCGTGATCTCAGCTCACTGCAACCTCCGCCTCCCAGGTTCAGGCGACTCTCCTGCCTCAGCCTCCTGAGTACCTGGGATTCCAGGCGTGTGCCACGGTGGCCAGCTAATTTTTGTATTTTTAGTAGAGACGGGGTTTCAACATTTTGGCCAGGCTGGTCTCAAACTCCTGACCTTGTGATCCACCCGCCTCAGCCTCCCAAAGTGCTGGGATTACAGGCATGAGCCACCGCGCCCAGCCCAGAGTGATCTTTTAAACAAGCAAAGCAGGACAAAGATGGTGGAGTCAACACGTTCCTCTACTTTGTTCTCTCTTGAAACCCTTCTACAAAGATGACTGCAAAGGGAAAGAACCGAGGTAACAGTAACAAAGCTGCAGGAGTTGGAAAGCAGAAGGATGTGGTAACTTAGCAGACTCAAGAAAGCTGAATCCAAAAAAATAAAAATAAAAATAAAAAACAAATAAATTTTAAAAAGAAAGAAAGAAGCCAGGCGCAGTGGTTCACGCCTGTAAGAGGCTGAGGCTGGTGGATCACGAGGTCAAGAGATCGAGACCATCCTGGTCAACATGGTGAAACCCCGTCTCTACTAAAAATACAAAAAATTAGCTTGGCATGGTGGCGCGTGCCTGTAATCCCAGCTACTCAGGAGGCTGAGGCAGGAGAATTGCCTGAACCCAGGAGGCGGAGGTTGCGGTGAGCCGAGATCGCGCCATTGCACTCCAGCCTGGGTAACAAGAGCGAAACTCCGTCTCAAAAAAGAAAGAAAGAAAGCTGAATCCTAGAGCGGGGCACAGCGATCCATGCCTGCAGTCCCTGCTACTTGGGAAGCTGAGGTAGGAGGGTTGCTTGGGGCCAGGAGTTCAAGGCTGCAGTGAGCTACGATCATGCCACTGCACTCCAGTCTGCATGACAAAGTGAGACCATGTCTCAAAAAAAATTCATTAAATAAAAAAGAGCCAGTGTGGTGGTATGCTTGTAGTCTCAGCTACTCAAGAGGCCAAGGCAGGAGAAAGTCTTGAGCCCAGGTATTTGAGGTCAGCCTGGGCAACACAGCAAGACTCCATCTCTTTACAAAAAGAAAGAGCCGGGCGCAGTGGCTCATGCCTGTAATCCCAACACTTTGGGAGGCCAAGGCAGGTGGATCACGAGGTCAGGAGTTCAAGACTAGCCTGGCTAACAGCCCGCCTCTACCAAAAATGCAAAAATTAGCTGAGTGTGGTGGCACGTGCCTGTAATCTCAGCTACTCGGGAGGCTGAAGCAAGAGAATCACTTGAACCCAGGAGGCGGAAGTTGCAGTGAGCTGAGATCGCACCATTGCACTCCAGCCTGGGTGACAGAGCAGGACTCCATCTCAAAAAAAAAAAAAAAAAAAAAAAAAAAAGAAAGAAAGGCAGAGTGCAAGAAAGGCAGAGTGTGGTGGCTCACGCCTATAATCCAAACACTTTGGGAGGCTGAGATGGCTGGATTGTTTGAGTTTAGGATTTCGAGACCAGCCTGGGCGATATGGTGAAAACTTGTCTCCACACACAAAAAAATGCAAATATTAGCAGGTGTAGTGGCAGACACCTGTAGTCCCAACTACTCTGGAGGCTGAGGTGGGAGGATCGCTTGAGCCAGGGAGGCAGAGCTTGCAGTGATCTGAGATCATGCTACTGCACTCCAACCTGTCTAAAAAAAATGATATGAATAAGAGAAAGAAAGAAGAAGGAAAGCAAGCATGCAAGAAAGAAAGGGATCGGGTGTGGTGACTCATGCCTATAATTCTAGCACTTTGGGAGGCCAAGGGGGGCGGATCACTTGAAATCAGGAGTTTGAGACCAGCCTGGCCAATGTAGTGAAACCCCATCGCTACTAAAAACACAAAAATCAGCCCGGTGTGGTGGTGTACGTCTGTAATCCCAGCTGCTTGGGAGGTTGATGCAGGAGAATCTCTTGAACCTAGGAGGTAGAGGTTACAGTGAGTTGAGATCAGGCCACTGGACTCTAGCCTGGGTGACAGAGAGAGACTCGGGAAGGAAGGAAGGAGGGAGGGAGGGAAAGAGGAAGGGAGGAAGGGAGGAGGAGGGAGAGGGGAAGGAGAGCGGAGGGGAGGAGCAGGAGGGGGGAGGGAGGGAGGGCAGGCAGGTGGGCAGGCAGGCAGGCTAAATCCTAACCTACAGATAACCACAAAGGACCACCATGACTCATACCACCAAACCCTTCCAAAGTCAGGAATTGGTGGGACCAGGTATCTCTAGGAGTAGAGGTGGAGATGGGGCCAAAGACAGAAGAATTGATCAATTTGAGCTCAAGAAGAGATAGATTCCCCAAATCTCTCCTTAGCGGCATGCAGTCAGGGGACTTCCCCTCCACAGCTCAGGCAGCAGCTGGGAGTTCTCTCCCTGGGGGACACCAGATACAGCTGAACACAAGAGCACAGTGCATGAAGCAGGGGGATTAGTGAACGTTTCCCCTGCAGATTGAGCCGTTCCCGCACTTGGTTCCCAGAATGCTGGTGGCCACACGGCTCTCCCCAGAAAGAAACGGAAGAAATCCTGTCCATGGAATTTGACCAGGCCAGGAGGAAATACCTTAAAGAAACCCACTTCCTAAAGTCAGAGCCCAGCCAGATGGTCACAGAGCACAGCCCAGCCTCCAGCACCTGCTGCAGTCAGAGCCTCTCATCGGCTTTTAGCGCCCAGTCTTAAGTTTGAGCAACCAGGACTGCTGGGCTTCTGAGGAAAGGCTCTGCCAGAATGGCCAAGACCCAAACTAACCAAGAGAAAGGCAACTGGGCAGGGGGAAGCCACCTCCCAAAACCGCTATTCTGCTCTAGTAAATGGCTGAAGATACAGCCCCGTGGAGCAGGACCAGGACGTCACTCCGACCCTCTCTCTCCACCTGAGCGTACACGCCTTCCCACCTCAGCACACCCACTCTGAAAAAGCCCTTCCAGCCACCCCCCAATGCAGGAGTGGGCAAATTTTTTCTGTAAAGGGTCAGATAGTAAATATTTCAGGTGTTGTGAGCTGTATATGGTCTCTGCCACGACCACTCAACGCTACCACTGTGGTATGGAATCAGCCAGAGAAAATCTGTAAATAAGGGACTGTGGCTGTGTTCCAGTACAACTCTGTTTATGGCTGGGCGCAGTGGCTCACGCCTGTAAGCCCAGCACTCTGGGAGTCCAAGGCGGGCGGATCACTTGAGTCCAGGAGTTCGAGACCAGCCTGGATTACAATGGTAAAAACCTGTTTCCACAAAAAAATACAAAAATTAGCTAGGCGTGCGCCTGTGGTTCTATCTACTCTTGAGGCTGAAGTAGGAGAATTGCTTGAGCCCAGGAGGTGGAGGCTGCAGTAAGCCGAGATAGCACCACTACATTCCAGCCTGGGCAAGAGAGCAAGACCCCATCTCATAAAAACAAGCAAAACTCTATGGACAGTGAAACTGGAATTCCATATCATTTTTCAGGGCCTCAAATGTTACTCTGCTTTCAGTTTTTATTCAATCATTTTAAAACATAAAATCCTGCTAGGCATGGTAGCTCATGTTTGTAATCCTAGTGCTTTGGAAGGCCAAGGTGGGAGGATCACTTTCAGCCTAGGAGTTCGAGACCAGCCTGAGCAACATAGAAAGACCTCATCTCTACAAGAAATTTTAAAGTTAGCCGGCATGGCAGCACTCTCCTGTGGTCCCAGCTAGGGAGGCGGGGGCAGGAGGATCACTTGAGCCCAGGAGGTTGAGATTGCAGTGAGCTGTGATCGAACCATTGCCCTCCTGTCTGGGCAACAGAGCAAGACCCTGTCTGCAAACAAACAAGCATAAAAACCATTCTTAGCCGGATGTGATGGTGTGGGCCTATAGCCCCAGCTACTTGGGAGGCTGAGGCAGGAGGATCACTTGAGGCCAGGAGTTCAATACCAGCCTGGGCAACATAGTGGAACCCTGTCTCTGAAAAAACTCAGACAAACAGGTGCCAGGCTGGATTTGACCACACCCTACTCCAACACATCATCTGGTTTTATTTTCGTCACAGCACAGATCGCTTCCTGCTGTTTTCTTGTTTACTACCTTTTTTGTTGCTTGTTTCTTGGAAGCCTCCCGTGCTAGAATGGAGGCCACAGGGGAGCGAAGACCTCTGCCTTCTGCCCTGCTGTACCTCAGCACCTAGGACCATATTTGCCTCTAGTGTTTGCTCGGGAAATACAGCTGTTGGCTGTGACCGAATAGCTGCTGGCCACGCCGGCCACCCTCACCGCACTCATCACTGCTGGCAGTGCCTGAAAGGACAACTCTTGGGGACAACTATGGCACTCCCAGCTCGGCTTCTCCCGCATCCCTCCCGCTTGCGTTTTCCTGTCCCTTTCTCCTTCCTTGCTTTCATCAGTCTCAAATTGTAAGCCTGTCTGTGATGCCCAGGACAACCCACAAGCCTGCACCGAAAAGGACCCAGTCGAAAGCGGACCCTCTCCCAGTCTCCCAGCTGTAGAGGTGAGGCGTCGTGTAGGGTCACTGGTCCAGCCCACAGTTCAAGAGGAAGGGGCCGAGCATGCGACCAGCAGGCCTCCTGTCTCCCCACCCAGACAGAGAGAGGAAGCGGGGAGAAACTGCTCCAGCTACAAACGGGGCTTCGGAATGATTCCCCTCTGAACCCCAAACCACTGAAAACGAGTACGGTCGAGCGGCCAGCTGTCAGGTGCTCAGCCGCGTTCGTGGAAGGACTGCTGACTGCACATAGTACCCTCTTCAGTAGCGTCGTGACTTTTCCACGTGGTGTGATGCAGCAGTCCCAGCCTTTGGGGCGCCAGGGACTGGTTTTGCAGAAGACAATTTTCCCATGGATGGGGGGACGCAGTGGGGATGGTTTTGGGATGAAACTGTTCCACCTCAGATCATTAGGCGACAGATCCTTATAAGACGACAACCTAGATCTCTCGCATGCACAGTTCACAACAGCGTTCGGGTTGCTATGAGAATCTAACACCACGGCTGATTGGACAGCTGGTGGAGCTCAGGCAGTAATACTCGCTGTCCCGCTGCTCACCTCCTGCTGCGTGGCCTGGTTTTTTTTTTTTTTTTTGAGACGGAGTTTCGCTCTTGTTACCCAGGCTGGAGTGCAATGGTGCGATCTCGGCTCACCGCAACCTCCGCCTCCTGAGTTCAGGCAATTCTCCTGCCTCAGCCTCCTGAGTAGCTGGGATTACAGGCACACTCCACCATGCCCAGCTAATTTTTTGTATTTTTAATAGAGACGGGGTTTCACCATGTTGACCAGGATGGTCTCGATCTCTTGACCCTGTGATCCGCCCACCTCGGCCTCCCAAAGTGCTGGGATTACAGGCTTGAGCCACCACGCCCAGCCTGGGTTGCGTGGCCTGGTTTTTAACAGGCCACGGCTGAGTACTGGTCTGCAGCCCAGGGGTTGGGGACCTCTGATATGGGCATGTGGTGGCAAAAAACGTTGTTGGCCACAGTGACTCACGCCTGTCATCCCAATTACTCAGGAGAATGAGGTGGGAGGGCTGCTTGAGGCCAGGAGTTCAAGACCAGCCTAGGCAGTATAGTGAAACTCCCATCTCTAAAACAAACCAACAAAAGTCATTGCTAACCAACGTCCAGAAAAAAGGATTTATCTTCGGATTGAAGAATTCAGGTCCCCGCAGTGGACACAGGGGCACCAGGTCCTCAACATCCATGGCCTGCAGTCCTTTAAGGGGGGCAACTCCCTGGGTAAGCACTGGCACAAGCTACCGTATGCAAATGATCTGGTGTTCCACGGAGGAAGGGCTCCTACAGAGGAAGGAATGTACTGACAGGCAGATCCAAGCTTCCCATGTCCTGGGAGTGGTGCTGTTCAATGTAAACTAATGAAGTGGCACTTGGGCTTATCAATCACGCTATTCTGATTTTGGCTAGCAAGTCAGTCAGTCATGTGGCTGCTAGTCAGTAACGCTGCTTATTCCAGAGCCAAAGGCTAGACTCAAGTTCCTAGGATGCCAAGCTGGGACCACATCTTGCCAGCCTCTGCTTGAACCCCTCTGACCACTCTTCAAATCCAGTGGGTCTGTGTCCATTTATTGTTGCTTCTAAAGGAGCAGTGCTCACAGAACCTGGTGACAGAACTCCCTCCTGGAACCTTGCCTGGAGACGGTAAAGGACTGATACAACCACGTGGCCAGGGAGACACTTGTTTCCGGGTAGCCCAGTGACACTGGCTTGAACTTGATCCCAACTTGACCCCCGGCTTGGAGGCATCCCCCAGTGCTTTTCATTCTCTGAGAGGGCAGCTGGGTGGGAGGCTGGGCAGCTTCAACCTCTGAGTCCCGCTTCTGCTGCCTTGCTTCAGGCTGTGACCACCTCAGTGGCTGCAACCTGCTGCTGCCACCTCTGTGTTCCGGGGACAGGTGTCACCTCTGCCATTTCCAAGAAAAAGATCACGCACACAAAGGACTTTGTGTATGTAGCAGACTTTACTCAAGATTTGGAGAGGTAAAGGGGGTTTACATAGCAAAAATACAAAAAACTGAAAGTTTAGTATTAGATATCCATGAGCTTAAGACGACTCAAGACATCGCCACCGATGGGGCTCCCACCTTCTACCAAGGCACCTGACCACCTCTCCCGGCCGTTTCTCAGGAAGCCAAATTAAAAGATTTCCTGACAGTTTCTTAGAGTAGTTTAGTCCTCCATTTGCTCTGCCGTCCCTTTCTTTTTTTTTGGAGACAGGGTGTTACTCTGTTGCCCAGGTCAAGTGCAGTGATACAATCTCAGTTCACTGCAACCCCAACCTCCTGGGCTCAAGCGATCCTCCCACCTCAGCCTCCCACATAGCTGAGACTATAAGCATATGCCACCATGACCTGCTAATTTTTTTTTTGAGACAGTCTCACTCTGTTGCCAGGCACCAGGCTGGAGTGCAGTGGCGCGATCTCGGCTCACTGCAACCTTCGCCTCCCGGGTTTTAGCAATTCTCCTGCCTCAGCCTCCCGAGTAGCTGGGACTACAGGCATGCACCACCATGCCCAGCTAATTTTTGTTTTTTTTTTTTAGTAGAGACGGGTTTTCACCGTGTTGGCCAGGATAGTCTCCATCTCTTGACCTCATGATCCACCCACCTCAGCCTCCCAAAGTGCTGGGATTACAGGCGTGAACCACCGTGCCTGGCCTAATTTTTTTTTTTTTTTTTTTTTTTTGGTAGAGATGGGCTTTTGCCATGTTGCCCAGGCTGGTCTTGAACTTCTGGCCTCAAGTGATCCTCCCGCCTCAGCCTCCCGAGGTGCTGGGATTACAGGTGTGAGCCACAGCACCCAGCCTGTCTTTCCTTTCGAGACCTTCCCTTGGGGGCTCTTTCCCCTCAATGTGATCTTCCCAATTTACAGCACTCCCTCCCCTTTCCTGACACCAGGGCGGGATGGAAGTCTAGCACAACCCTGCGCTGGGCAGTCCTCATTAAGCCAAGACTCAAGGTCTCCTCCTCACCTTCTCTGAGGGACATTAGAGCTTTTTTTTTTTCTCTGAAAACAAGTATGCATGCATGTGCATGTATTTTAGGGGTGGGAAGGGCAGAGTCAGGGGACATTTTTACACCTACATTTCACATTCCCCAAGCTTTCACCATGAGTGAGGGGAGGCACTGCTCCTTCACACACTGTGACCTTTCCTTCTCCCAACGGCAATCACAAGTCAGAGTGTTTATTCCCATTTCACAAATGAGGTCATGAAGTTCCCAAGATGGTGTTTGTCCAGGACCACGTGACTTGTAAGAGGTCAATCACTGGCCTGGCTTAAATTTAATATATATATATATATTTTGGAGACAGAGTTTCGTTCTTGTCGCCCAGGCTGGAGTGCAATGATGCAGTCTCAGCTCACTGCAACCTCTGCCTCCTGGGTTCAAGGGGTTCTCCTGCCCCAGCCTCCCGAGTAGCTGGGATTACATGTGCACACCACCATGCCTGGCTAATTTTTGTATTTTTAGAAGAGATGGGGTTTCACCATGTTGACTGGCCTCAAACTCCTGACCTCAGGTGCCCTGCCCACCTCGACTTCCCAAACTGCTGGGATTACAGGCATGAGCCACTGCACCTGGTCAAGTTTAAGTTCTTAAGAACAGCTTACACAGATTGGGGAAATGTGTCTCGTTTTCACTCTGAGAGCTAATACAACAGAGAGTATATGAAGAGGTCAAACACAGGACCCACTGGGTGGAACACACTGCCTCACCTTCCCCCTCTGTGCCACTCACCTGATACAGCCCCACCCAACACAGCCATGGCCTCCAACCCCCCCCACCCCCCACCCGACACCTGCCCAGAGTCCTCTGAGTCTCAGCACAGCAGAGGGAGCAGGTGCATGCTCTAAGCTCACACAGGATACGGGAGCTGGGCGAGGCCAACCGTGCCAGCCCTTCACCCCTCACTCCACACCCCACTGGCTTCTGTCCTGAAAGGGAAGAAACACACACACACACACACCAAACTCCTGTGAGGGTTTGTTGGAAAGACCATCCCACTCGGAAAGATGGGGGCCGGTGGGAAACAGTCTGCTGGCTCATCGCTGGACCCGCTGCAACAGATGGTCCGTCTCCCATCCCCATGTCCATCTGGACAGTGCTGCCTGCTAACTCGGATCATGTCAGAATGGTGGAGGAGTCTCTATCCCCACGGGGCTCAGGGACCCTTCCTCACCTCACAGGCCCAAGTGACATGACTGCCTGCCGTGTGCATTAGCTCACTCATCACACAGAACCAGGAAATGTGGGCCCGAGTTTGGTGGGAAGACCTTGAAACACACAATCCCACATGCCTCTCTGAGGTCCACAGCAGCCCACTGTCACTTTCTAGAAAATCCGATCAAAAAGACTCCCTTGCTTCACATACTTTTGGACTTCCATCTCACCGGGGTCAAGTCCAAAGCCCTCACCAAGTGAGGAGGAGCCACTGGCCACCTGCTGCCTTTCCCCACCTAGAATGCCCTGGCCCCTCCTCTCTCCTGTTCACTCTGTGTCCTAGACACAGTGGCCTCTTCTCTGTACCTGGGACACATCTGTCACCTCCCTGCCCCCAGCACCTGCTGTTCCCCTGGCCCCCCAGGGCTGGCTCTTCCTGTCTTTCAGAATCAGCACAAGCACCCCTCCCTCAGAGAGGCCTCTCCCAGTGGCCCGACCTTAGCGCCTGTGCAGCCTCACTGTGCCCACCTCCATCTCCTCACTTGCTTATGCTTTGCTCCCCAAGGCCTGTCTGTCGTCTTCCTCACACATTCCCACTGACACATCTCCAGCACCCAGCACAAAGCAGAAGTCGTTGCTAAGTGAACGAACAGATGCATGAATCATCCAGGCAAGTCAGCAGAGCTCTGCATGCCACATTTGCCTCATCTGTAAAATGGGACTAGCACTGTACCCATGCGTGAAGATGAGAAGAGACTACAGAGGCACCTGTGTAGTACAGGCACCGTGCACATGACAGGGGTTCTAACAGGCATAAATGGAATGCTCGTGACACACGGGGCAGGCATGACTAACCCTTCTGCATGAGAAGAGGGGATTCCTCACTGGCTCGGGAAGAATGAGCGACAGATCGAAGATGGAAGAGTGGATGAGCATCACTGGCTGGGGGTGCTGGGAAGTAGGTGATTTGGGGTAGCTGGTGGGGAGGCAGCAGGGGAGCCTCCAGAGGAGACTACAGGCGAGGTGGGGCCAGCTCACTCATTTGCTTCAAGGGTCATGGTCTGCACTGGACCACGGGGAAGGCAGCTAAGTCTGCCACCTGCTATGGCTGACCGGCTTGGATTTTACAGCTCTAAGGAGGTGACTGTCTAGTAGGCTGCTGAGGTCAGTGCATAGAGGGAAGGAAAATTCACACCTGGACCCAAAAACATCTGCACTGACCTCCTTCCCAGCCAGGACACAAAAAGGTTATCTCCTTAAATGTGCATTTGTCCTGTCGCCAAGAGGCTGCTGGCACAACACATCCTTCCGTCACAGCACTGCTGCTGCCAGTCAAGCTAGAAGGACAGCCAACACTAGCTTCCCGTATTCAATCCCCCAGGAACAGAGGAGGGGAGAGTGAGGGCAAAGGCTATGCTGGCGCCTGGGGGTGGGGGCAGGAGAGCCTCATACAAACACAAACCCACGCTGGGACACATGGGCACTTGCCACCTGCTCAGGGGCTCCTCCGATCCCAGGCTCCCCAGGAGTCCACACCCCAGCTTTTGATGAGAGCTGGGCCTGCAGACTGCACAGCTCTGCAGCCTGGCATAAGGTCTAGCAGTGGTCCTGATGCCCAGAGGGGTTGGTTAAAGCTGTTCTTTGGTAAGACAGCGGGTGCTGGGCGTGGAGAGGGAGACTAGGTTGCTGGCCTCTTCTCCAAATCTGGGACGCGGGTCTACTTCCCTCCATCTGCTTTACTAGATGCTGCCCACCCTTTATGGGCAGCTCCCCTCAAGCACTACCTTCCCTGAGTCTTCTGCACCTTGATCTCTCCAGTCTCTGAGCACCAGTGGCTCGGAGGGTCACTTAAAGTGTTTTCCAGTCTGCCTTAACGAGACTGCACACTCCTATGATTACAACGTTAATTTGGTGAACACATTTCCGTGTGGGGCTAGGCACTGTAGATATGTGAGGTAGCTTACTGTTATCATACAAATTTTACCCATGGGAAAACTGAAGCACTGTGAAATTAAATAACTTGCCCCAAAGTCACTCAGCTACTTTGTAGCTGGTCCAACTCCAGAGCCGTCGCTCCTAACCACACTCCATGACCCCTCTTAGATGCTGCCCGACTCATGTACACAGTCCCACACAGTATCTCCCCAAGCGCCAGACACACAATAAGCAAACACCCGTAGGTGGAAATCTTCCTTCCCTTTCTGCTCTAGGATCTGTATTCCCAGGAGGGACGATGACCGCAAAGAGCCACTAGGTGGCAGCAAGGTGCCGGATTCAGGCCTCCCCGTGGGAGGGAGGGATGAGCTCATGGTCAGGTGTATTTAGTGCAGCTTGCACCAGGCACTTCACAGACTTCATCTCTTCCCACTCTACTGAGAGAAAAGGGTACTAGGTTCAGACAGGCTGACAAATTTGCCCATGGTCAGGCAGCTTAGAATACTAGGACGGAAGCCAGGACCGGCAAAACCCAGAGCCCAGGCCAGTTCTCATGAGAAACAAACCCAGGAAGCCCTTCAGCTGCGGATCTAAGTCTAGGCGCCTCCATCCCAGAGAGCACAGAAACTACCCCTTAGAGAAGAGGTTAGACGGTGCGGGCTGGCTCTGAGGAGGCCTCCACCTAATGGGCACCTTGGCTGGGAGGGACTTTGAACAAGACGCACTAGCACCAATGGCTCTTGGGGACCAGCAGAGCGCCACAGACCTCTCAGCCTCTCAGCCACAGCCAAGGACGCTGGTGCACTCAGCCTCCCACCGAAACTCCTCAACCCGGCCTTAGCCCTGCAGCCTCCTGCCCTCCCTGCCTCAGGTTCCTTTGATCTGGAACCAGGGCCTCCAACGTGGTCACGGAAGACGGCTAAGGAATCCACATCCACTGAGATGGACGGAAACTATCCAGAGAGCTCTGACGGTGTCCCCGTCCAACAACTGTCACCTCCACGCCTAAAACCCACCCCCCAGGGGATGAGGCCTCCCTGTGTGAACTGTCCTGGGAGTGCAGCAGGGGTGCGCGTGGCCCATGCGTTCCTCGGGCCTCCGGCGCGGCCAGCGCCACAGTGCAGGGGCCTGAGTGGCAGCACGGGGACCGTCACATCTTCAGTTCCAGGGTCCAGTGATGTTCCTGGCTGAGTCCATTGGGGCGCTGGCTTCAGAACTGCCTGGGTTATGTCTCTGAGCACTGCTTCTGGCCTGCCTCCCAGATGGCCCCATTGCTCCCCCAGTCCCTCCCAAGGCTCACACAGCCAGACCAGGTCCTCTGAAAATACAGAGTATCTTGGGTTTATTTGGGGTTGGGCACTGCAGGTTCAGGCACAGTTTGTTCCTGGGTAGAGTCACAACTGCTCCTCTCAGCACTCTTGGCACTTCAGGGGGCTGCCCCTGCAGGTCCCCTCCCCACGTCCCCATTGCCTGCACACACGTCTCTTCCCCCCTCCCTGCTCCCCGAGTCTCTCATTCTTTCACCAGCCTGTAGATATGGTGCTGAGCCCCGTGCTCGCTGGCTGACACCTCAAAGACATAGGCAATGCATAGCAAGGTCTCCTGTGTGTCTCTGTTGGTGACCACCTGTGGGAGAGAAAAAGACAAGGTTAATAAGGCCCCAGATGAGGGCACGCCATTGCTGCTACCCACGCACAGACTCCAGCCACACCCACAGCCCCCGCCGCACACCTGCAGTATGGTGAAGTTCTCCAGCACGCTGTTCATCATGTACTTCTCGGGCAGGTGCTTCAGCTTGTGGATGAAGTTGATCATGTACTCACAGAGCGGGGACCGGTGGATGCGATATGAGTAGTGTCCATTCTCGTAGCGAGCGTACTCTGTCTGCAGGACACAGGGCCAGCAGGGGCTTAGAATCCCTTCTGACCACCTCCAGCCCAGACCCATCTCATGCGAAGCCCCAGGACCCAGTCCCTGGTGACCAGAAACACAGGAGGTCCAGGGGCCCTTAAAAGAGTCACCACCAGCCAGGCACAAAGACTCACACCTGTAATCCCAACACTTTAGGCGGCTGAGGTAGGAGGATCACCTGAGGTCAGGAGTCCAAGACTAGCCTGGCCAACATGGTGAAACCCCATTTCTACTAAAATACAAAAATTAGCCAGGCATAGTGGCATACGCCTACAATCCCAGCTACTCTGGAGGCTGAGCAGAAGAATCACTTGAACCCAGGAGGCAGAGGTTGCAGTAAACCATTGCACGGCAGCCTGGGTGACAGAGTGAGACTGTCTCATCAAAAAAAAAAAAAAAAAAAGAGAGACAGAGAGAGAGAGAGAGAACAGTCACCCTCTTCGGTTGGTGGACATTAAACAAGACCTCCTTCCTCCATGGGTGGCCAGCAGGAACTGGGATGGCAGGAGGGGAGCTTAAGGAGACACAAGAGCAGGGTAGTCGCCTCTCAATCCTGGCTGTACACGAGGACACCATGCTGGTTGCAGAGGGCCCACTGGGAGTCTGGTGGTGACCACACAAATCTCCATACCTACACACACATATGCACGTGCATATAGGACTGCATATAAAACCAGTGAAATCGGAACCAGATTGGTGGACCGCATCAACGTCAATTTCTTGGTTGCCCACATTATACTCTAGTTATGCAAGGTAGTG